GATACCGATCGCAGCACCGTATCTCCGAACCAATCGTAATTAAAAAACGCGTTGCGGACGTACCGGTAATAATTCAACTACTGTACGTGATATATATAGTAAAAACTGCAGTCTATGTTCAAACTACACGTCCACACTCAAGTATTTACGCATGAATTATCGTTCGTGTATTTTTTTAATTGTGTTATTTGATGTTTGAGTAAGTTGGCTTGTGTCAGCACGTCTTAAATCTTTTTTAGATTTTGCCTACTTTCCTGATTTTCCGTATATTTGTTTGTTTTTTCCTAGTATACTAACTGGCGGTGTTAATAGGAGTGCTTTCGCGCGTTCAAAAAATTTGTTCGACAGAATTGACAAAAGACTTCATTAAAACAGTTCTTGCATCTCTCTCGACACCGAAGGACCTCTGCTGCGATACCACGTCTACTTAACCAACATGTTGCGATTCAACGCAATGCTTTTAAAATTTTCAACGCAAGTCTTTGAAAATTTTCAACGACAACTCATCATAAGCGGGAATGAATTTAATTTATACATCTGAATAATACAAATTACCTATCTCGATCTTCAAATGGATATCGGTAGGACATTCAGCAATAAAGTGTATGTAATAAATACAGTATCAAAATGACAGGTGTTGTGAAGGACGGATTGCTCCGTCATCTAGTCTACAGCACCTTTTGATAAATAAAGAGAATAAAAAAACAAATAAAAAGAGAAGTAACATTATATTACAATAGAATTAAATAGATTTCCGGTTGCTCATTGGCATACTCTAGTGGTGACAGTATCATACCTCTAATAAAGCATTATGGGAAATCGACAAATTTAAACCACGTGATTGACTGGGGAAAACCCGAGTCTTGTGAACAAAACAAACATCCTCAGAAGGAAGTGGCAATTTAATAAGGCAGGGTAAGTTTTAGTACTACGATCAAAAAAATTAAAGTTTGTGAAAATAGGGTTCCGTATAACAATATTAACAAAGTTGAACGGGTAATCTGCTTATGTAAAATCAATATCATTGGTTTACAAATTAGTTACCGGTACCGTACCGTTACCAGTACGATATGGCTGTATTAACATCATAGCCAAAACATTGCATAAAACGTTAATAGCTGTTTATTGGCTTATTAAGTATGCACGATATTGGGCTTTGAAGGAACAAAACGTCAGGATATATTTACGGTCAGGTTTCGAAAGCAATAGGGTATAATCCAAACTTTGACCCCGGTATTTTTCAAGGATTGCTGGGTTCGATTCGAAGTAAATCTTTGAACTTGGTAGGATCCTTCACTGGCTGATCTGGTGTTGTGGTCCTGTACTGATGATTAAGTCTTGAAGTAACCCCGAAAAGCTATAGGCAACATGTTGTGAGTGAATTGATACATAATTTTGGCTATCTCGAATGTGTGGACATCATCATTTGGGAATATTGGATAGTTTATATAGTTCAGATCCAGGTTTGAGGACTGGACGCCATTTGTCAAAAATCGGATTGCTTTGTTTTGTAAAGATTTAATTTTGCGGCTGTGGCTCTTCCGGAGACACGATCCCCAAACTGTTATCCCATATGATTGGAATAGGGCAAAATATACCAGCCTCAGGGTACACCTGGGTAGATAATTTAGAAGTTTGCATATTATTCCTACAGCTCTCGAAAGTTTTGCTATAATAAGGTCAATATGTTTGTCCCATCTCAATTTATTGTGTATTGTAATGCCCAAATATTTGTATGACTGGACTGATTCTAGTAAGTTGCTATTTATGGTAACATTGAACGGAGCATAGGTCTCAGTGGTGGTTGGACAAATCAGAATAGGTTTTGAGTTGTTTATGTTTATTTATAGTCAATTTATTGCTGGCCACCCAGTTTGCGACCTTATTTAGTTCAATATCAACTTTTTGTTTCAGTTGCACCAAAGACTTGGAAGATTTTGAAAGTGCCGTATCGTCAGCGAACAATTTTGTAAAAAGGGAAATCATTAAAAAAAATTAAAAATAGCAATGGGGCCTGATTTGCCCTGTGGAACTCCACGTGTTATGGGTAAATATGATGATTCGGCTGTACCAATTTTGACAAATTGCAGGCGATTTGTTGAGAAGCTTTTTAGGAGCAATTTAGCGTTGCCACGGATACCATAGTGCTGCAGTTTCTTTATTAGTATACTGTGGTCAACTGTAGGCCTTTTGTAGATCAAGAAAAATGCAACAGGTGTATTGGTGGTTCTCTAGAGCAGGGCTTTCCAAACATTTGAGCTCGCGGCCCCTTTTAATATATTCAAATTTTTCGCGGTCCTTGTTTAAGGTAATAATGCTAAACAGTTCGAAATATGCATTTTTGATGTTGCATTGACACAGCTAATTCCCAGCTATTAGTAGGCCTTCTCAATAACAAAAACAAGCACATATTTACTCAGATCAAGGTGACTCAATTATTCAATGTAATTGGTGTGAATGGTTTTGTCGTGACGTCGCAGTCAAGTCAGTCGTGACGCAATGTTTGTTTATTCAGGCCTAAATGATGCATTACAATGTCTGGCCACCGACGGTCTGCTCCTTATTCGGAATTGTTCACTCTTATTGATCAAACTTAGCATAAGGCATCGGTTTGTGCGCTCCAAATATCAGGGAAGAAACTCATGGCGCACCTACACGAAAAATATGCTGCTTCAAAATAAAACACAATTTAGGTATCGTTAATATGCACTTTATGCCCTTTGAAACGGATCAAGGTTAACTTTTCTTTCTTATCTCTGCCTAGTTTTTCTTTGAAATGCTAAAAAATCACTCATGTTCGAAAAACTCGGTTCAGTAAGTGAATAAACTGCAGCCTGCGAAATAGCAGCATGTATGGTTTACTTCTTCTGTTACGTAACAATAGACCCCTACGTAACATAAAGTAAACAATATAGAACGGTGAAATAAATTCGATTAATATACACATCATTTGCAATAATGAGAAACAACAAAACGTTTAGAACAAATAAAATATGTGATATATATTCCGATGCGCCCTTAGATGATCGCCTTTGGGAGCCGGCATCGTTATGCAAGCACGCGCAAATCGGGTCTTACGATCAGAATAAGCATTGTTATACAAGATGACCGTGTTTCCCCGAAAATATGACCAAGCCTGAATTTCAAAAATGATTTTAATATAAGCGCGCGTAATGAAAGTGCGTCGTTTCAATTTTGCTAGGGCGTCGCAAAATTTTGTAATGGTGTTATAATAAATACGTTTTTTGTAGATAAAGAATATTTTCCTTTATTTCAAGAAGCGCTGTGCACTCCCATCCCCTTTGCGATTTTGTATTTTTGTTAAGCAGGCTTTTCTACCATGGCCTATTAAGTGGGATTTCACTGAATGTCGTTAGGTTTTGTTTGTTCGTTTATATGAAACTCATTGCAATAAACGTCTTATATTAAAATATATCAATACGTATATCCACGGGAAGTCGCAACTTGAGAATATTTTTGGAGGGCGTCACAAGACAATGAAGTTCGAGAGCCACTGAGTTCTAGTCGATAGCAAATAAGTTATTTTAAATGAAATCGTGCTGTTAAATAAGTAAATGGAAATCGCTATTCTATATTGAAAAATCTCGTTATTCTCTACATCCTCCCAAAATAAGCCCCAGTGTCATTTTCGAAAGAAAAATGAAGACACTATCTTTTTTTCGGGGAAACGAGATATGAAGATGGAATATTTGGCGATCCAGCCTGAAATTACCAGGGGCCTATGAATGTCGTGGAGAAAGGGTCGGATCACCAAAGGATTAAAACTATATACCCTAAACGGCAGAAAAAGACAGCAGTGTTCCCGATAGAAGTGCGAGGAAAGGACGTCGTGAATGACAGGAGAGTACGTCATCGGCGTCTTTTTCTACACCTGGAGAAGATCCACGCCAAATATTGCCATCACTAAGGGCGGCGTTGGTACATAGCGCAGTCTTTCCAATCCGAGGGACGAATGTGAAGAATATCATGAAGCAGAAATATCACGACCCACGATGATTGTTCCGGCACCGAACAAAGGGGAGACTGAAGAAAGTAGCTCAAAATTGAAATGGGCAAACACACCACAGGGATTGGTGAAGGGGCCACGAACCATACGGCTAATCGATGGGGTGTTAGAGTTAGAGTGTTGCTCATCTTAGGGTTTACTGCAATTATTTGGTTCTTGTCGATAATCCACCTTTTCTATTTTACCATCAATCCTGATCGATAGGCGTTCCCTGGCGTTGCAGCTGAGACCGGATTTCTTTGCTTCTTCTTAGTAGAGGTTCACTTGATGTTGTCGGGCTGTACCGGTCTCCGTTGCTATAATGGCGTCGTCGGCAAGTCCTAAAGCAGAGACCCTCTGACCTTCTAAGGCCGTGTATTCGATAGTGGATGGTCTCGTCAAACAGTTGAGCTCCCCAGTAAGTCAAGGTACATACAAATAGCATTTTTCCAGCCGTTTTCGGAGGCGCAGCTTCTGAATTCAATTCCAATAATGGTATGTCGGTAGTTGATGATTTTCTCGACTCTTGATTTTGCTCCCAGGCGATCTGAGGTTTTGAAATTCGCACGTTTCATCTGCGACTTGATAGCATTCAGAGCGCTATGAGGTAGAATCTTTTGCAGAAAGGCGGTTTACTGCTAGGTCGGACTTGATGGGTTGTGACAGTTTTGTGACATATGTCTCGTTTGGCGCTTAAATTTTTCTTGATCAAAGCGGATTCGCTACTTAAAGTCAGTTTATAATGTTTCCGTTAGTTGGCGCAATATAGCCATGATTTTGTACAACAATTGATTATGATCCAATATGAATAAAGATGAAACAAATGAATAAAGATGAAACATTTCGGGTGGTCACCGAGTGTATTTTTCAAGGAGGAATGTTACGGAAATTCACCAGCTTAAAATTAAACTTTGCACGCACTGCGCAGGCATAAATGAATTTGCGAGCCCTATTCTTTTCTCTGCCTTTCCTGGACATAGTCACAACACCAATGTAACATTTCATCGCTCATGTTTATTTTCATATAATCTTCATCAAAACTTTATGGCATAATAAAGCAATTCAAGAAATTTTCAAATCGATGTAAATTGGAATTTGCTCAACTTAAATTTTTAAATTTCTAGGCCCTCTGAACTAATGTATATAAATATCATTCACAAATCACGTTCCAGAATGATGATCCCGTGAAAGTAACAAAACAATTCTTTTCAAAATATCTTTATTAGACCCTTGTATTCATTGGAATGGAACAATTTTTATATCGAGTTGATTTGCTTAATAAATAGTTAATATAGTAACAAAAAACTTGCCTAACGCAAGTTGGAGATTTAAAACAATACGCAACGTAACGTAGACTAAATAAAACAAAACAATAAAAAAAACACGGTAAATATCATTTGAATCATAAAAATAGAGTGCTCCGAGAGTATAAAAAGAAGTAAAATAAAATAATAACATAAAATGAGTCTGATAAAAATAATTGTAGATAAAAACATAAATTGTAACAAATAATTTAAAGAAAAAATATAAAGATCATCATGATGATAAAGATTAATGACGCTTTACAAGAGGGATGGTATTTAAAGAAGGATTCCAGAATATTTTGTCGAATGACTTTTTGAATAAAACAATTTGGGTTGAATTGTTGTGGTACATATCCGAGTAAGAACAAAATCGTGGTTGGTATTTATGAATTGGTATCTCATTTAGGCTAAACAACACCTATTCTCAATATAGTAACATGTGTTCAATTGAAATTTATTCGGAAAGTGCAACCTATCTATTACTTACTCATATGAATAGGGACTGGTTTTATTAAGCGTTAACAAGCCGATGCAGTGTGATATGGCGTTTTCAGATGAGCGTTTTTATACAATATTACTAAATACTGGATGAATATACATGTTTATACAGTGTATACGTTTGTCACTGGTCAGAATCTAGAGACTGATATTTTACCACGACGAAAACCAATTGGTTTCATACACATTGGATTTAAATCAAGTAATCCGGCATCATTTTGAAACCAGATATCGGAAGTACATCTAAATAGATAGTGGAATATTCACAATCAAGTTTAAAAAGGGACTCCAGCTTTTGACAGTGACAAAGCATTAATAACAATGTCAGGTCTTGAAGAAAAAGCACGAAGTATAAAAAAATTCGCATTTTTCAGGAATCCGGCCTGAGCCAAGCTTAGTCTTAAAACGCCTTAGGCGCAAAGACTGACAAAAACGAAGATGTGCTATGTGATAATGGCAGTAAGTTTTAACTCAAATTAAAAAATAAAATATAGCATTTATAAATATAAAAATTTAAGTAGAATCGCAAATGTGGGTTGCTCTATCTTTTAAAGGCGTTACCAAAAGCAGTGAAAATAACGTGAAAAATTGTATACAAGAAATTGCGGCTTGATAAATAGAAAATGGCACACAAATAAATAAAAGCAGGTACCTATGAGACAGTTTATTTCAATATTCATACAAGATATTTCCCATTAATCAGCAGTAAGCAGTTCCCACCGCAAACAGCCAGAAGTGCGGTTTTCGTATAAGTTCACTTGCCCTTGGGAATAGTTGCTGCTTTTTCGTGTCCAGCACGCATACACGTTGAACTTTTCTGTCTATCTTGTCGCTTTGTAGTTATCATATTGCGCGTGTTAGATTGCATAAATGTAAGCGTTGTTCGTGGGTTATTCTTCGCCTCGTGCGCTCAGCGCTCTGATTTCTCGCTCCGTTGCATCTACCTCATGCATCGTCGATCTTTCTGTCGTATGACATGAACCCTTCATCGTTGTCAAAGATGACTGACTGTATTTTTTATTCACGTTGAGCATGAGTTGCAGCACATTTTTCTGAAGTATGCCCGTGTGCAGAACTTGAATTTACGTACCAGGCCACAATGGCTGAACTTGGGATCGTCAACACACGTACCGCTTGAAACAACGCTGATTGGTGATTCCGTTGCACATTTGACACTGCAAGAACGAGAATTTGAAGGCCTAGTTCTGGTTGAACATTCTGAACTTCGCCGTTTCTCGTGTGTCAAACAGATTACTCTACGCATTTGTCGACCATGTCCGCATTTGGTGTTGCATTTTCCCCATCTTCCTACTTGCCAGGTTGGTGGTGGACAAGCTCCGGCGTTGCACATAGCAGCTGTTGGTGGCTTGTGTCTGATATTACACTGGCTGTTAGGATACCTTTCGCTTTTGTCACTGGACATACAAACGACTTCTCTGCTTTTGCGGCCGACTCCACACTTTGAACTGCACTGTAAACAAGAAATTAAGACAGTTAGCGATTTGTACATGGTAAAAATATATCATATTTAAAATTAACACAAGATTTGTACTTACTTTTGACCACACTTTAGCGACCCATTGAGGCGGGCAGACATCTGTATTACATCTTTCACTTCTGTCAGGTTTTTCACCGGGGCAAAGTTTGTCCGCAATGATTTCATCTTCTGACGCGGACAATTTTCTTTGGCAGGATACCGCACGAGTTCTTTTTCCACCGCCACAGGTAGCGCTGCAAGGTTGCCATTGCCCAACTGACCATCTGGAGAAAAAATAGGCAGATTAATAAAATATAATATTTTATGCTTGAATGAAAAAAAAAGTGATGTTACAACTACTTACTGTGGCTCGCATGGTTCTTCGTTACATGGTTGAACTTTTTCTACAGGCATTGTTTCTTGATTACAATAGCTATGTTGAACTATTGTATTGTCATCTGCCCGCTTGCAAATAACAGGACTGCGTTGAGTTCCTCCAGCGCATGTAGCAGAACATTCTGACCAGTCTCCAAGATCCCACACAAATTGTACCTCATCATCCCCACTAGTTACTCGTTCAACTGGAACGTTGTATTCATATTGGATTCCTTTGTTTGGCTCTTGTAATAAAACCTGAAAGGGGGAATGAGATTATTAAGATTCATTAGGTTGAAAAAGTGTACTCAAAAAGTTTGATATAAATTACTTTGTTCTATGTGATACATAACATTGAAACTGTTAATGTATAACAACACCTACCATGACAATCAAATCCTCTGTAATTGGTCCAAGAGCTTTCAATACTTCAGGCTCGTCTGCTGCTCTTTCATAACTGAAAGTTGTTCCAGCGACCTCAAACTTTCTTGGCCAATCGATGGTGTACCCTCCATTTATGAAGCTGACTCCTCTTGTATTCCTCAATGCCAAATAATTTTGACGAGATAGTACATTTTCTCTGATGTAAATGTGTACAGCACCTTTCGGAATTGTGACAATTTCTTCGTACACTGTAAATTCAATTCGACGAATTCAAGAAAATGTGGATAAAAATAAAGTAAGCACTTCCCGATTTATAAATTATATAAAACAATGAAAATAGTAAAATAATTCGACAAATTTTTTTACGTGCTATACTGCTATAAAAAAAATCCGGATTATTGAACAAAGACAATAATGAAACCATTATTATGCAAAATCGACGGGAAAACAATAAACGTCAACTTCCGATATATATCTCGGTCGACAGCACATGACGTCGCCTCCAGGTTTAGAAAGCGGATAGCTGCATTGTTTGGGCATTGCGTCGATATTATTTTCGGCGTATCGAATAATTTTTCGCCGCCAAATTTTTTACAAGACCCGTATTTTAATCCTGAATCGGTCCATTGTGTAACGCTAGCCCTACCCTTAGCGATTCAGACTCGTTCGCTATCGACCGTATTAAAGTAACGAGGTCTAACAATATAGGCGAGAGTTAAGAAAATTATAGTCCGCGGAATGCGTAATATAGTTAGTAATCGTAACAACCTATTCAGGGAAATTACCAAACAAATCGGTAACATTATCCTTCTAGATGATTCATTTATTCACTTGTTGCAAAATCAAGTAATATTTGTTTGGCAAAAATTGATACCCGAGGGCTTGCGTGTCAAACCGATTTATTGTGTTATATTGTTTAATTTTCTAAGAATTCTATTGTGACTCACAGCAAATGACACCGATTTTAATAAAGCCGCTTTATTCCGAACAAAACTGTAATACAGCAAATACGAAGGATTAAATTGCTATTAGTTGATAAAAGATCTCACACAACATAATTTTTAGAAAGCGCATTACAGCCACTGCCTATTTGAACAATTGTTCCAGTCAAAATGATTGATTACATAGGTCTATGTAAATTTTTTACGGTTAATGTCTAATACACATACACATTTATGTTCGGCAAAGAATAATTCTCTAGCCTACTTTATCGAACAACAAAGCGATAAAATGTGCACCGAAATTTACGGTTACGTTATAGCTCACGGCGCAGTAAAAACTTAAAAGGCGGGCGAGATAACCTGAAGCTAAGCGAGACGGATACAATGATGTAATGGGTTGAAAAAGGGTAGACAAACGAATCTATTGTTGTAGACAAAGTCTTGTTTTCTTTTCTTAGCGTTTTTCTTGACTTTTCAAAATTTTAAATTGAGCAAAAATAAAACAAATAATACTTGTTAGATTTTCGATCGAAAGAACTGATAAGCATTTACTTGAATTTCGAAGTAAAATCGCTCGGAATTGAATGCGAGAAACTATGAGACGATACAACACTAATTTTTAATCCAGAAAAAAACCTTTTTATCTTTTTTCTTTGAACCGCGGACTTGAAATTGCTTGTTATATCTTTTATACAATTTACAAACATTTCCTGAATATGATGGCTCAAAAGATAGTATTTAACTCGCTACATACAAGCCCTAACACATCTTCTATACAAATATATTCACAAATCTACAGCCCTATACGCACAAGGTGAAATTGCGACATTTTTTTTTTCAATTGGCATAATGTCGCTATCGTTAGATTGAGAGATTGAAATTAACCCGAGAAAATTGTGTGATTCCGCGTGTAATTTTAACACCATAACGGAGGACGAAAATTTAAAACTGCTAGAGACATATTATATGTAACAATATCGACACGATTTCATACAAGCGTGTCTCGTAAATTTCGATCGCCGAGTTTAAACCGGTGCTGTAGAAGCATCTTATGCATTCTAACTACGAAATGGCAAGTATAATTGCGAGAAATTAAAGATCTGTACTTACGTCCTTGCATTCCGGCTGAATCGAACACGCCTTGGACAGGTTCACATGTGCTTCCGTCACCACCACATATGCGACATTTGTCTTCAACTGCTTCCGAATGGAGTACACCGTCACAACCGACATGCTGCAATGAAAACCAAAATTAAGCATGAATTTTTTTTTTTTTTTTGAATAATTGGGATAATTTGTGAAATTTCAAAATTTAAGAAGTTGTAAACAATGGAGAGGTAACGTTGAAAGGTAAAGCTCGGGCTAACATTAATAACTTATTTATCGCTAAAACACCAGACATTTACTTCTCAAGCAAAACTACTGTTTAATGCGAGGTGAAAATGCAAATATCAAAATTTTCAAGACAGAAAATGCTAATGTTACAGTCACTCCAATATTTGTTGCTTACGCCTCTTTAGGCTTTCATAAAGGTAACCTGGACAATTTGGATGCACCTTAAAAAACGTTTGTACAACCAAGGTCAAGATACTCACATGGCATTCTCCGTTTATGCACATATCTGGACTGTCCGGGAAACAACGAGTTCCGTCCACCACAGCTGATGCTCTTTCAGTGTAAAAGCTGTAGCCTTGTGCCAAACAATTGAGAGCACAGGGATTGACATTTTGACCTGAAAAAATTGAATGATAACAGTTTTATACTCCATCGGCCATTGAATTCAAAAAGCAGCTATTCAGTAAGCTTTCAAGCGGCGCAAATTATCAATCACTTAGAACTTACCACCAACAAAAGGTTTCCAGTTGTAATATTTCCCTCGGAAAGGTTCGGAGTCGAACTGAGCGCATTGCTCTTCCCGGAAGGTCAATTTTGTAGCTTTGCAGAGCTGCATGATGGAGCAAGCAGATTCGAAGAGGCAGCAGAGGATAGCAAAAAAAGAAGCAAAAAAGCAACGTTAATTTTGATGACACATGCTCATTATAATAATGCATTTATAAATAGATATAATGGCAAGTTGATGATTTAGGCGGCAATAATATGAAGCGTAATGTAGCGAGCGGTTTTTGCGAAGCGAGCAATTTGCGATAGGCGTTAAAAAACGCAACGTACCGCCTTTATATGGAACCCATTTGTAGTATTTTCCTTGGAATGGAATATCGTCAGATTCTGCGCATTGTTTTCGGCGAAAGTCCTCGTCGATGGTGCATTTCTGTATCACAGGAACACGAGGATAATATCAAGCCTTTCAAATTTTTTTTAATTGTATAAAGAGCCTACTTTGAGCTTATTTGTCATTCAAATTTATAATTCAGTAGTCTTACAGTGTGGTTAATTTTGCCACACACGACGTTTGCCAGTTAAGGTAAATAATCCCACACGGAAAAAGTAATGTATTTTACCTTTATCGTGACTAAGCGATAAGACATATGAAAATAAATCGAATATTCATTTTCTCAAATTATCACTGACACATTTTACTTCTGTTCGTAATTTATTTTACGAGGTTAATGAATCTGCACTGTCATTCGATTTCTCTCCTGGGGAGCAATACCATTGATGGCACCGCAATATCCTCTCTGTGGTTACGCACTAAACGCTAATTAGCCACGTGTATATCTCATATTTAAATACATAATTTTGTGAACGAATGCGCACGATTCACAGGCTGCCGGTTAACAACAAAGTGATATTGCCGTTAAGTAAACTATAGGTGAGATATACGGTGACTAAAATGACACTTAGAGACTTGCACAAATACGGAATCCCACGTGAACTAAATATATTGAACGTCTGATCACGAACGAAACTAAAATTACATTTCAGACAACAGCACCTGTTGGCCTTGGCAGTGATTGTTATATTTGAATAACAAGGTTTTACAGCTGCCCCTACCCTAGCTGGGGGTGAATTGAGTGGGGATAATAGCCTTTTTTAATAATTGTCAAATGTACCAGTGGTTTATCTTACCACCGGTAGATGACATGTTGTGTGTACTCTATTGATAACACAAGATTGATTCAACCGGTTCATGTTTAACCAAACAATGGCGGGAGATCAATGTTTCTTTTGATTTTTTCGACAAATGAATACATTCACTCACCTCGGCATTACAGGAGCGATATCTTCTGCGTTGACCTATGCAGTACTTTCCACCATGCTCGGGAGCTGGACTATCGCAATGTCTGAAGGATGAGCTCACACCACCACCGCATGTTCTTGAGCAATCGCTCCACGGACTCCAGGTACCCCATCCGCCATCCACAGAGTTGGGTCGTTGACCAAATTGGACGCATTGCCCTTGGTAGCACCACTGAACAGTAGAAAAATTAATTAGTTTGGTTTTTGAGTACTGAAGCAACCACCCATAGTAAAGAAAACGCTTTCTTACCCCCTTTTCAATTCCATAAGTTTGGCAGTTTGTCCCTTCGGCAGCTGGAATGCTGTTCGTAACGCATCGACCATTCTGACTGACGCACCAAAGTTCGCGACAAACTTGCTGTAATAAAAATACATCCATTTTAAATATTTCATTCAGAGTAAATAATCATATTTTCACTTTTACGACAATCGGATGACTACGTACATCGTCGCGGGTTATGCAAATGTCAACTCATCAGATATACCAATTAAGTTAAGATTTAAGGACTTAACAAATGTTAAAGGTAAAGTTTAAAAACCATCGAACAATAAAACGAGGGCAAAACCTATTTCCGAAAAGTTATTTACCATTGCAAACTTTCAATGTATACATTGGAGGAACAAATAGTTGGGCGCGCAAACATCAGTTTATGCCTGTCTGTTTTGTACTTCATACAATGGGACATGGCAGTGGTGCGCCGACTTTAATTTCAAGTTTTCGTGGAACACCGGATTGCATCGCCGTCAAACAATGACTTCAATTGTTATCACGGTCACGTTGATCCCATTATTGTTTAAAATACCTTTCACGAAACTAACATAATATGAATCTTATATAAAATACAAAGCATCAGAAACTGAAATATGAAATTATTCTAAAACGGATAAATTCTTTTTGTTTTCATCGTTATTTACAAAATTACCGTTAAGTTTGAAAGACAAATGAACGGACGCAGTTTCTTATGATGGATTACTAATTGTTGTCAATCATAACACATCGATAACTTTAAATGTACTAGAAAATTGGTTGAGAACAATAGACCACACAAGTAGCAACAAGTTCTTTTAAGTGATAATCTGCCTATTCATCACCCGTTACGTTTGTTCAGGATTATTTACAGAACAGGGCTTACCCCATAGTTGCACTGTCTTGACTGAGGACCATACTGAAATCGGCACTGTTCGTCCGCGCTGTGTTGTTGACCCGGAAGTTCAGCCGGAAATTCAAAATCCCTTCTTGGTGGAGTGTTGATCAAGCATTTCCCAGCACCGGAACTGCAAATGATAACACAAATCGCTTAATAACACATCCTATCATGAAATCACAATTACCAGGCAAAGCCGTGAACTCAGAGACTAAAAGTTTTATTTAATCAATCAGAACATAATCTGCCGCTTGGGAAATTTATTATGCATTGACATATCTCGCACGTCTTGTGGATCCCAGGGGTCAATAGTGAAAGGTATTCAGGGGTGATATATTGCTTTAAAGATAAAACCTTCACAACTTACTCAAGAAAATCGGTGATGTATTTTCTCGAGCACCTGGACCAAGTAAAAGGTCTGGTGTTTTTTGTTAGCTGTGCCGCCATGATTTGTGCCGGTTCGTTGTCAAGAGTACCGCAGTCATTGCCATTGCCGTCATGTTGCATACCAAAACTGTAAACATTAATACATTAATAGATTTGAAGAAGAATTGAGGGAATGTACCAAGACCATATGAGGAAATAAAATATGCTTTTATAATAATGTTGTTCGCAAGACATACCTAAAAAAATGCCGCAGTGACAAATGGGGAGAAAAATCTCTTTAGGAAGGTATTATTTGGTTGATAGCCAAAATGAGGTACCGGATTTGGTAAACAAATCGTCAATGACGTCAAGTTATATTTTGCACGATATATTTACCTGTCGCAGATCAGAAATTTGATAAACGATCAGTTATAACTAGTACAACTTTATGTTACATAGATATATTCAACTTACTTGTGACCTATTTCATGGGCGATTGTAAAAGCTGACGCGAGTCCTATGTCCTCGTTGATGTTGCAGCTGCGATCTGACTCGCACATACCCGCAACTGGCGCAAGTCCTGAAAAACGAAATGAAAAGTTTTTATTATTTTAAATTTTGATACATAAAATAAATGTTTTCATTTGAAATTCTATTTTGTGGTTATGGAGTTTTAGTTCGTGATCTAAGACATCTACCTGTCGGTTTTACTCTATTTATTTGAAAATGGTTCAGATCGCTTAACAAAACAAATCAACAATATTATGGAAATGTTTCTATAGCGCTCATATATATATGCCAAAACTTTAAAGCATAGCTAGTCTGTAATCCGTTCCATTGTGAGTTGAAAAACGTAAACTGCCTTCGACTAAAGGTATGATTTGTCATTTTAGGCGACGAAAGACTGCTTTGAAAATTAGTGAACCCTGCACCGACTTTGAAGGAGAAGATTTCACAATAATCCCACGTCCGCTACCGGTAGTCATTGTTCTCAACTCATGGGCGTACACTTGGTGAGATCTTGCTTATTAAATATACTGTAAGCACAATTTGGTGTAATATTCGTCCTTCCTCAGCGTTGGTAAAGATAAGCAACCCGCAATCAAATTCAGATCCAAGATAAACTTGGGAAAAAGAATATTTCAGTTACGCCACGTCTGGACAGTTATAGGCTGATCAAACCCAGGTTTGCTATCACAACAATTGAAGCGCTTTGATCCAATTCGAAAGTCATTACTGATCATGTTTTGCTACTGCCACAAGCGGAAATGGAGTATTCAATGACAAAGCTGGGAAGCGACTTCAAATGGAAGTTTTATTGTCTTGTTAGTTCCAACAAAAGGTTGGTATTTCTACTAAAATATAGGATGGATATTTAGTACCGGCACATCAGGTTTTTACGTCAAATGCCGGAAGAGACATCTTTGAAACGATACCTGCAAAACGTGAGTTGCACCGAGAAATTCTGTTTAAGCGCCAAACCACCCGTAAATCAGAACCAAGTTAACGATTTTAAAACGAACAACATTAATAACAGGCCGGAATGATCTATTGTAAACCTCTTTTATATTTTAATGCCTTGTTTGCAATATGCGGCATTGCTTCCTTTGATTAAAAGAGCTACAGCTGATCACTCCTCACGCTTTACGATTGCAAAATACTTTATGCTCAACAAAGTACACCCAGGTGTTATATACAATATCAAAAAAAAAATAACATGATAACATACAAAAGTAAAACTTACCCAAAGTTGCACACGGTTTGTTCTTGTAGGTGCAAATGTCAAATCTGTACAAAAAAATTATTTTCTTAAATCATATTACAATATAAACATACTGCTAATATAATTGCAACATTTCGGCGTGATCAGAAAGACCAATTCTAGCTCCTGCACCCGCTTGATTATGAATGATGAGACGTGTTCGGGTATTCTGTTTATGAAACGTATGCAGACAAAATGTGCGGGATTACAATTAATCCATAATCAAATAGTTTTGACTTGATGTGGCGCCGTTTACAGAATACATTGAATCTGATTCTTGCATGGTCTACCTCTAATACACTACGAAGTGATGCTACTTGAGAAAAGCTAGCGCAATATTTTCCCTGGCAAATAACAAAAACATCGACGTACAAACAACCGCATAATTCGCTGAAAAGTACGCTGAAAAAATTCATAATATCGTATTTTATTTAAATTGTTTACAAGGTCGCAAAATAAAAAACCGATTTTTATATGTCCCTTTTTCTGGTTAGTAGCAAGAAATGATCTCGCGACATAAAGTTTGCAGCAATGACATGCAAGATGGAGATTTCATTTAGCACAAGATCCCACGATTATGTTTCGACATTAATACCACGAAAGCGCGGGCTAATGAAACAAAGTATTAGATTTGTGTCGCCCCTATTGGATTGGATTACGATGTTATATCTAGTTTAGAAAATGGGGTTGGTAAGTGAATCTGATGGCTGGATACCAAGGTTATTGGGCCATAAATACGATTACCAGTCCACTCGTCAACCTGGAATCATGTTACGCAAATCTAGCTCATGATGTCATATATCCGTAGAGCCTCAGTAGGCATTATTTCACTTCCCACGAAAATAAATATAACTACAGATGCGCGGACTCCAAATTCAGGAGGGAACTTGCAGAGATAGCTCGGGAAAATACTATCTAACCGTGTTTTGATGATTGAAGTAGCATTACTCGGTGCGAAGTTGCTTGTGGTAGACATTCCATAATAATAACTCATCTGTGCCCAGTACACTGTGACTCATATATGATGCAAAACAAGAACTGGTACAACATGACCCCGGTTTGTTTATCGTTACCACGAGTTTAGCAAACGCATTGAAATAACGCAAAAATAATCACTTACCCCGTAATGAGTACAGCGTTATCGTGATGTGCAATGCCACTTTCAGGAATGTCGTTTGACTCATTTACATTGATTTGAGATTGCCATTTGCAGAAGCTGTTTAATGATCTGTCGGCGTGATGGTTGATTTCCAAATCCGGCTGAAAATATAATTTATACTTAGTCTTGTATGATATCCACAATCACTTAGTCAGTTCAGAAGGTGATCGTTATTGTAAGGAACCATTTCTGAAACTAGACTAGAACACTATATTAAAACCATGTCTAATCAAACCGAGTTGACTCCCGCAGTGAGCAGTTGGAATTTGTAAATTTAACTTTATATTATAAACGAAATGGTTTTGTTGACCTCTTTGTGCGCTTAAACTGATTATCTGCTTATTCCACTCACATTCTTTTGCTGTAAGCGAAAAACGTCAACAAAGCGACCAAATAGGCTGTAGACAATTTCGTATAACGGTTTCCTTTACTCCTTTTCGAACTTCGCAGTTCAGCCGCTCTAGTTTTTGCTATTCTAAACGCATTTTTATATTATTTAAAAGAAAAATGTAGCGCTGCCTCGTAAGCCTATTTGCATATATAATAGCCTTCCCGATTCAGCGCAGCCAAACGATTTTTACGAAGTACGAATTAGACAGTCTGTCTAAAATTGTTAGACAAATGAATTCCAGCAAATGGCAACTTTCCAATTGTAAAGTTGCAAAATGTTTGCAGAGCAATGATGAATAACCCAATCGAGTCTTTTAAAAACATATTCCACTTGTCTCAAGAACAATATTGAAACGGTGTGCCGCGTCAAGTTCGATCATAATTTGTCTCGTCAATTAGGCGCGGCATGTTGTTTTGCGCATTGTTCCGGGTTCTTCGAATCGTTTTTGAAAAATCAACAAAACCATATGCCGACCGCTAAGTCCGTAAAAGAATGGTAGTTGCAACCATAGTTTAATGCTTAGAGCGTTGTCGCAAAAATTACAAGTTAATTTAATCTATTTGTGTCATGGCGCGATGACTTTATGCCAAGTTTGTTTACCAAACAACATCCTATCACGTTCATTCCATAATTAGATACAAGACAAGGTTATGTCTCTCGCGTTTTGCATGCAAAACCGATAATAATTTGCCAAAAATCAAACCTACCTGATCCTCTGTAAGGAGAACAATTCTGGTTACAATAACATTGATAGCGTTGCCAATTGAGGCATCGTGGTAGAGATTTGCCACCTGTGAGGAAATATAAACATTCGTTAAATCAACTGTGAATCCGACAACAAAATCAGGAAATTTGTATTTAATATTTATACTTACGATATTCATTATAGTAAGAATGTATTTCTCCACTTCCTGTCTTCCGTGATATCCAACCATCATTTTGTCGGCGACAACAAGTGTTTCGACGTTTCTTTCTACGCTTACTGATCGTTTTCTTCTGCTGAGAACTACGGAATCTTCATCGATCGTGTTTTGTGAGCGGCCAGCACTCTTTTTACTGCTCTTAGCGTGATGGTGACGACGTGACTTTCTTCTGCCAGATTTTCCTCGACGACCCTTTCTCTGTTTTTTTGAAATATCTTCTTCTTTTACGTCCAATTTTTCCTCCATGTCGTCGTTGTCATCATTTCTAGCCACTGCTTCGCGGGGATCAATTTTCCACCAAGGTGTGTCGCCAGCGACCTTGTCTGTATGATGTAATATTTCAAGTGATGAGTAAACTAAAAAAATTGTTTTATGATAAATTCTAAGTAAGGCGCTTTTTCATACCTGAGTATCCACAGTGACCAATATCATCCTTGTTCTTTCTTCTTTCGTGAAGATGACGCAAAACGGATCTTTTGTATATAACATGTGGATGTCCCTCCAACTCCTCCTCATTTTGGGCCTCTTCCTCCATAAACGGTGAAGAAGTTGTAGAAGAAGTGAGATTTTCACTAGAATTGCTCGACGCTACCGTATGGTTCCACAGTGGTTCAATTAAATAATCTGCATCGTCTTTTGAAATAATTCCTTGCTGAAATACATGTGAATATATTCGTATAAATGACAATGTCATAATTACAATTCACGAAAAAATTCAAATGTAACTTTAACTTACCATGCCCTCGCATAAACTGAGTGCAATTTTTGAATATCCGTCATGGTTATGAATATTCCCAACATAGTGACAATCATCAATATTGTTATGCCTTGACACAATTTTGCCACCGCGACCACGAACTTCAAAAACGAAGCTTTTAGAAACTAGTTTATAATTTTTCTTCAAATGAAGTCTTGCTTTTGGCATCCCAAAAACATTGTCCATTTCGAGGTATATTTCATGATTTCCATCATCTGAAACTGCTGCTGCATCCAAATGTTCTGCAGCACTTCTCCTCACTCGCTTATTCAAAGTACTGTCTGTACCCAACGGTGCATCGAGGGTTACGTACGATAAAAAATTGCCATTTCTGTCCACCCGTCTTGGGAACCTTGTATGTACGAATTTTGATGAATCCTCATTTCCGTTCTCCAGATGTAACGTTGAAAGAGCATTAAATAATTGACCTTTGTATCCATAATATTTCGAAAGTTGAAGAAGAATATAGAAAAATAAAAAAAATCAGTTATAAATATAATAATAAAAAGACGTTATTAACAAAATATTAACGAATTTTGGTTCCAATTGACGTTCTATACCCTTTGATGGAGACAAACAAATCTCTTCCGTTCTGACGCCCTTGTGTTTGACGTTTATGGGCGCTGGTTGATATAAGAAGACTGCGTAAAACAAAGGCCCTTTCTTTTTCAATTGATACTTATGTATGCGTTATTACTACAAATTAGAAGTGTTTATTTTGTAGTTACTACAGGAAATATACGGTGATAATATTGATATCGTTTCGACTGTCGCTTGAACCAAATATCAATGTTGAAACCACATGTTAAAAACGAATGATGTCTGATAACAGTAACAGGATTAAGCAGACAATGCTACGCGGGAGGTCAATAAACGTAAGTTCGCCAAAGCACACATAAACGCCGATGTTTAAAAAATGGAATTTGCCGACGTATATAAGGAACAATAAATAGTCGGAGATTTTTCTCTCATTTGGCCACTTGGTATTGTCTATGCTTTTATGCCAGTGGAGACACATACAATTACCAGTTTATAATATCAAAATTGTATTTTGTGTAAGAAATGTCTATTTAGATTTGGGGCCCAGTGTTTACTCTGTCTACTTATTATCAGTATCCTCACAGCCTAAGCACACTGGTCTGTTGACGTGTCGTCACAAATCTTTGAAGCTATATCGTAAAGACTATTACCTACATGCCATTATCGAACACTGTGGTAAAGTATATCCACGTTAGAAACTTTTTGCGCTAAGCATTTATATTAATTACTTTGCCGAAATCATGTAAAACTTTGATATTTACTTATCTGATAATTGAAATGGCGAATACGCCCTTATCCACCTGTCCTTTAAAATAACTAACATTTTCGAGCTATTGATTTGACATAGAATGAAATAAAACTTTCCATATTTTGCAACTGTGAGCATTTCCTTAGTGATGTATGAACAAGTCTGTCAATATTTGAACTGTAGGCAAACGACCGTAGAATTCGGCAAAGATTGGAAAATGAGACGCCGAGGATCCAAACCGCGTGAATTTGGACAAACGAAATAAGTACCAAATAAAAATACTCACCATATCGATGCTGTTTTGTTGATGTAGCCAATCCAAACGAGGCGATAAGTATTCCATAAATAATAAGTTGTGATTTTGCCATTTTTTGACGTTTAATAAATAAATAAATAACACTTTATGGGTTTCTGACGGCTAAATTTGCATCTGACTGTGAGCCAAGTACAGGGTTGTTTTCTGCGTATACGATGTGAAGAATCTTTTTGCAGGTTAAATATAACGTTTTTCTTTTGATTTGTTTTTAGTTGTATGTTCTTCAGGTTGGCGAGTTTTAATAAATAAATAAATATACAGTTCACTCGCTGTCAGTTTATAAATAAGTAATAGCGTTTCTGTAAAAATAACCAAATTCTTAAGCATACACCATGAAGACCAAAGCACTATATGAATTTACTCTAAACTAAATTGCCGAACATAAACCAAATTCAAAGTATACCAACATACTTCAGCCTCTGAAACAAACTACTGGAAGTCAACTTATATTCTGCAGCGTCTGCGTCGCAAGCCTCGAAAGCCGGCGACTTATCCGCCGAACGACGAATAGCTTAATGAGGTCTGAACATCGCGTAGGGTTGCTTAAAGGTTGTCTTTAAGACAGACACATTTTTTCAGGTGAAAAAAAAACGAGAGAGGATTATAGACTGCAAAAAGAATGATGCCGTCATTGTTATTTTAACATGTAAGATGAGGAAAATTATAGCAATTTTCTACAGAGCCTTATTTTATTCACAACTTATCAGACTGTTACAGAATCCAATATATGTAGTTGAACAAAAATTACGTTAATAAAACAAAACATTATACTAAAGCAAAATAACATGTCACATAAGAATAAATCAAAGGAGGTATTTTCCATAGCATACTGCACCGGCGTTATTTCCACAAGCATACTATCGACGAGCATATGAGTTACATGGTTTGAGTAAAGTACTTTTGCGATTTAAATTCTAAAAATTACAATATTTCATTTACTTCGCACTTAGTCTGAAATTTTAAAACATAGCTAATTATATTATCACCCTGTCCCCAGTACATGTTCTGCCACTTAGCAATCTGTCAATATTCTTAAAATGTAACGCCACCTGCGACGAGTCAATACATAAGGGGCACAGTCATACACAACTACCGTCTGCCTATATACATCAACTGTTTGCATGCTAATCTTGTTTCAATAGAAACTTACTAATTGCCAATTTCAAGCAACTCTGATCGTCCTTAGCATGCGTGCTACTTATATATACAACCCATCCAATAAACCGTTACACGAAGTGGTTACACATAATCTCTAATCTGAACTTTTTTGTCATTTTTGAGAGAGTACATGTGTACATTTCTTCTCAAAGCTACGAAAACCTAGCAAACAAAATCCGACACATGATGGCGTACAGCATCTTGCAGAAGGACGAAACGATTACGGCATTCTCTATATTTACGATACTTGACAAAGGGTTTCTGACGAGAGGCGTCTAATACTGTCGCGGCGAATTAACGGTTCATCGGCATGACGTTAGTGCTAAACAAAGACTTTTTTACATTACCCCATGCATTTACCAACGTTTATGCTTTTTTATCAGTTATTGCCTTGGGGTCTATTTTTGAAAGATCAAGTTCTAATAATTTGTTTCCGAAATGATAATAATAGAGAACAAAGGGTTACGTATGCGTGTCTGTAACATTGCTGTGAAACCAAATACCCCTGTAACAGTTTTTTTTACGAGAGCGAGTTTATTATAAATAATTTTCTAGATAGTTCTGCAAGCGGCCTGAACCGACATATGATTGCGATTTTGAGACAGGTAATGGTCGCTTCCGATCAACAAAAGTTCATTTTACATAATATATTTGATTAAGGGTTTTAAACAAATCCTAAAAATATATACTTTCATAAACAATTACTATTTTACATCCAAATAAAAAAAAATCATGATGAAATTGCTGTAATTGTATTCTTGGTACCGTTGCCAATGTGTGCTTGACAATACCTTTTTAATTTAGTAGATTATTCAATTATCGAAAACGATCGAAATTTCATAAATTATAGCTTTAGTGTAATAGCTAATTAGCACGGAGCTCTCCAAATGGAAATTAGGCACGTGAAAATAACCGACAAATTGGAATTTTTGAACAAAAAAGATATTACAACTTCTTCGATTAGGTTTAATTGGTCGTGCAAAGTTGCGTTTTATCGGAAATAATTTGTATTATAATTATTGATATATTTGCACATAATAGGCGCTTGAAAATATTTTTTAGTTAAGTATGTGTATAATTAACGCGTGTGTCATCATCTTAAATTCACTGAAAGTGCGAAGCATTCAACCGCTTGGTATTTGTTGGAAAAGCTCATTCCTTGACTAGTTTAACAAGTATATCGAGTTATACTATTACTATTATTCACAGAATTCACAGACTTCTGCCCTCGCTATGTAAACATTTGACGAAATCTCACGAACGAATGCTCTTTACTGATATCTCATTCATACAATAAACTCTGAAGTATCTTTATCAAAATATTTCTATGACCATCATAAGTCCCCTTTAATATGTGAAGTAACCTCAAGACGATTTGCGGCCAAATAAATCCCTTGGTATATATTACAAAACTTGTTCTTCTCTGAGTGACGGATACTTCAAAGCAATCTTTGCTAATCTGTTAAAAAAGCGATATTTTTAATTTTCCAAATACATCCCCCGGGCAAAGTAACATCTTATCTCCTCCTAACTTGTAATAATGTGTATTTCTCAGCGCCTGTCTCTAATTAAGCCGTCAGTTTAAGTGGTATAAGTGGCAATTCCTTACTAAAGTGGCCAATTTTGACAGTTGCTTGTACTCGAGGTTTTGACCTGATTATCAGTTCGACTTAATCAAATACTTCAATTTCAGCTTTTCAGCATCCTAATTGAAATGCAATCGAAATTTTATTTAGTGTGCATTTTGGAAAAGAAACAAAAAAAAAAAACAGTTTATTCTGGTACCAGCGAATAAAGTGATGCTTGTATATGAGTACTTTGAAAGTCAAAACTTTTCTTGCGTCTTAATTGATCGACTATTATAAAAGTACTATTTCCAAAACGAACTAGCTAAATTTTAGCGGCTATACATATGATTCGAGCTAAACTCAACTATTAGGCAAAGATCAATCTATCCCACGGTCTCAATTAGAGAATAGATTTTCCTACGCCCCACAAGCATGCAAAATTATTATTTCTTTCACAGTGAAATTAATTTGTTTTGATAAGCTCTATTAGAAACTCATATTTGTTTGTAAACGTAATTTTCCGTTGAATACTTAATTTCTGTATGTCTCTTATTCATTGCAAAATGCTTGAGTGAACACCAATGGTATGATTTGATAAAGATTCATTCGCGGCTACTTTGAAATTCGTGGACAACTTTATCGACAAAAACTTTGTTTGTTACTAAGTTGAACTGAAGTTATGTGTATACAAAACTCACACTCCCTAAAATTACAAGCCTTAAGACTTAAAATAAGGACATTTTGGAAATTAAGTTAAAATAAGCATAAAATGGCAAATAAACACATAATATAAAAGTCGAGCAGAAAGAAGTAAAAATTAATAGTCACTCATAACTAATAGAATACTTTTATTCATTCTAATAATTGTGTTTTTATGAAACTGATCCTTTATTAGAAGATGTTGTTCTTTTCTACATTGCACCTTCCAGATAGGAAAAGTTATTCTAACTCACACTTGCTGGTTCAATTAGCCAATAACAATGCTTGCATTATTCTATATTCAATAAAAGCATATAGGCTGCCCATTCAATCTCTTAAAAGCGAAGGAAATTTCCGGTAGTAAAATCAGGTAATGAGACTCAAAAAGGAATTTAAAGCTACTAAACTGTTGATGGAGTTTATTTCACACATTTGATCGTTTCTATGATCGACTAAGAAAACAAACTTCAAAGTAGTTTCGTTGTATGAGGTATTAAATTTATAATGTTTCAATTTTCATCCGAGTTTGTTTTGATTGTGGTCACCTAAACTGAAGGCTTTTACAATATCGTTTAGGACGTTTAAATAAACTTTAATAGATAAGAGAAATTGTTCATAGTTATTATATAAACATAGACTGGCTTTTTATAATACAATTACTTAAAGTTCAAACCTTTATACTAATTTCAATTTTGCATTTATATAATGCTACAGTAATTTGTGGGAAAAGACGGATAATTTAAAATGACTCACTAAAAATAAAATTAGCTAACCGAGACCAAAATTAAATACTGTCAATTATTTGTTCTTTTTTTAAAATGAAAAAGTTACTTACGCTTGTAAATACCTAGAAAACAATTCAAAAAGTAACACTGTATATCCTTCAATATATATATACCGGTATATATTGTACTTACAAGTATAACATTTTAACGGTTATGCATCGTTACTAAATGATTACGTTAAAACATATTACGTGATTTAACTAAAAATTTAAAGATCATTTATTACCTATGATAATATGATATCACCTATCTTTTACCAGATTTTGAAATTATTATGGGCAATCAATTACCGATTTGATAGGCGACAAGTGGGACGATAGTTAGAGACGTACTTTTGTAAAATTTAATACACCGGGCTGCTAAAAAGCCATACAATAACCTACAGTAATCTAATTCTCAGTTATCGAACAAATATGCAATAAATATTTTTCATATTACAGCGTCGAAACATAGCCCTCCTTCATATATATATATATATATAATTATATTACTTTATACTACCTATATCGTATTTGACATTATGGAACGGCACACAACATTAACAGCACGTAAATATTTGAATGCGATACTCCTATTATTTTTAACTATTTCTCCACTGTCACTGCAGCAAGCACCAGTAAAATTCATCGAAATAAGTACTACAATTATAATTTTATTTTGTGTAAGTTTGCCCAAGGCTAGGACAAAAGCAATCACAAAAATGTTGGAACTCAGTCATAAATAAGAAAGAAATTTTGCAGCAATTCAACAATTTAAGAATCTATATAGCTTGAACGTGGATAGAACCGGGAGTTATCGATCGGGAGTTATAATTGTTTCAAGGTTGAGGTTGATACTTGCAGATGTTGTAGACTGTAAATTGTCAAACATTCGATATTTATACCAAAATTGTCAATTCAATGTTATATAATATCAGATATAAAATCCTAAACATATGCATTTCAAGTTTCTTCGTCATTTTTATGAACAATTCATTGATTACACTACTTATTTAAAATTTTTGCACTGACTAATCAAAATAAAGTAAGTCATATTAAGTTTTCAGAGATGTTGGGCTTTCACTTTTCTCGTTCGGGTACAGCTTTATGAGTCTTATCTTTGCAAATTTAT